ATTTCTACAAGACCAATCTCCATTACTTTGGTTACATACTGCTCTGGTGGTTTAACACAGTAAGTTGAACTGACATAGCCTCCAAAAAAGACATGTCAAGGTCCTGATGCCAGCACCTGTAAATATGACTTTACTTGGAAAAAAGGATCTCTGCAGATGTAATTCAGGATCCCAAGATGAGTTCTTACTGGATTCAGGGTGAGGCTTAAATTCAGTAAAAGGTGTCCTTGTAATAGCAAGGCAGAGAGTAAGGGGAGAGGGATGCACGCACATTTGGCTTAGCAGTTAAGGTTGTTTGAAACACTCTTATCATAAATTTGAGTGCCTAGGTTTGAGTCCTGGCTAGCTCCTGATTCTAGCTTTCTGCTAATGCACATCCTAGGAGGCAGCAGGTAACAGCTCAAGTACTTGGGTTACTACCACCTACATGGTAACTTGGACTGGGTTGTTGGCTCCCATTTTTAGTTTGGCCCAGCTCTGGCTATTGTGGGCATTTGGAGAGTGAACCAACAGCAGATGGGAATTCTCTCTCAAGCAAAACCAAAAACAAAAAGGACACAGGGCAAAGCCATGTTAAAGTAGATTAGAGTTATGCTTGACTGGCCGGCGCTGCAGCTCAATAGGCTAATCCTCCACCTTGCGGCGCCGGCACACTGGGTTCTAGTCACGGTTGGGGCGCCGGATTCTGTCCCGGTTGCCCCTCTTCCAGGCCAGCTCTCTGTTGTGGCCTGGGAGTGCAGTGGAGGATGGCCCAAGTGCTTGGGCCCTGCACCCCATGGGAGACCAGGAGAAGCACCTGTCTCCTGGCTTCGGATCAGCGCGGTGCACCAGCCGCAGCGCGCTGGCTGCGGCGGCCACTGGAGGGTGAACCAATGGCAAAAAGGAAGACCTTTCTCTCTGTCTCTCTCTCTCACTATCCACTCTGCCTGTCAAAAAAAAAAAAAAAAAAAAAAGTTATGCTTGAAGCCATGAGAAGTTGGAAGAGGCAAGAAAGGATTCTCTCTGGAGCCTTCAAAAGATGCACAGCCTTGATAACACCTAATTTCAGACTTTTGGTTTCCAGAATGGTGAGAAAACAAATTTCTATAGTTTTAGTCCACCAGTCTGTGGTAATTTGCTACTATAGCCCTAGGAAATAATACACTAATTGAGTCATCTTTCAATACTCTTTCTCTTTAGACTTTCATATAGTTAATCTCCCATTCTTGTTGACTCCCTCTACAATAATTCCCAATGTAATCAGTAAAGTGATGCAAACACAAGATATATTGAGTGGTAAGAGAAAAGGAAATAGGAAATATAAAGCATTTATTTAAGAAGCTTGTCAATGAAAACTAGGAGGAAAAGGAAGAGAAAAGGAAGAGATAGTAATTTAAAAATTCCTGACTGAACGCATCCCTACTATGTTCCAGGCTGGTGTTTGGTACAGCAGTTAAGATGTCCCTTGATATGTGCATTTCAGATCAGACTGCCTGGGTCTGAGTCCCAGCACCATTTCTGATTGTAGTTTCCGGCTAGCGTGCACTCTGGAAGGCAACAAATGACAGCTCAAGGATGTGGGTCCTGGCCACCCATGTGGAAGACCTAGATTTAATTCCTACCTCCTGGCTTCAGCCTGGCCCAGTCCAGGCTATTGTGGGTATCTGGAGAGTGAACCAGTGAATGAGAAGATTTCAGAGTCTCTCTGCCCTCTGACTTTCAAATAAATAAAACTTTTAAAAAGTATTCTTTTTAAAAAATAAATTGAAGAAAATTCTCAAGCGAATGTATGTTTAAGAGTATAAATCTTTTCCCTAGAAATTGGAAAGTAATAAACAAGCATGCTGACATGGCTAAGGGAGCTAGCTGCTAAAGAATCAATTTTTTAAAAAAGGAAGTAAGATGATGTGGAAAACTGACTGCTCCCTCTTGATGCAAATCATCCACTACAGTTTCTGTGTCTTTCTTAAACAATACAAACGTACGCTTATTACTAAAACACTTTTGAGATGAGATCAAAGTCATGAAAATGAGTAAAGCAAAAAACAGCTGAAAGTCTATGTTCTCTTTTGGCAGTATCTCTAATACAGTGGGCCTTTGCACATATTTACTTGGTATTCTTTCTCCAATATTCAGTGACTTTTTGTCTACTTATCTGACGGATACTCATCTTTTAAGTCTTAACTTGAATGCCATATCCTCTAGGAAGCTTTCCATAACACAGAGTCTCTTCACAAACTGATTTTTAAGGAAGGAAATTGTCTGGCTATGGGTATATAACACAGTTGATTTGTCTTTTTTCAGGGAGGAAAACACAATATCCACTGCTGTCATTGCTAGGGAGGGGGACGGGAAGGAACACCAACAGGTTTTTGTGATTATCTTGCTCACCCGGAGTGTGGCATGAAATTCAAGAAACGAAATCCAAATCTGGGCTCTGACCAAAAGATAAATAAGCCAATGAAGTATAAAATTGACCTTAAAATAAGCCTATAAAAATCTCTAAGCACGTTATATATTCAGCAACTATTTGCTGGGCACCTACAATAAACCAATAAAGGTGAGTGGAGAAGAATTAGCTGGCCAGTTTATTCTTCACCCTATACTCTTTATAAAACCTCTATGAATTTAACTCCTTAAGTTCTGATTTTTTTTTTTCTGTCTCAAGATCCTATTTAGGATACTATATTATATCTGGTTGACATGTCTCCTTAGGCATCACTGGGCTGTTGACAGTTTCTCAGACTTCCCTCAATTTTCATGACCTTGACAGTTTTGAGTACACTGGTCAGGTATTTTGTTACATGTCCCTGTGTTGGAATTTGTCTTATTTATTTATTTGGCTGGGGTTATGGGTGTTTGTGAGGAAGACCAAAGACACAGACTGTTGTTTTCATTGTATCATATCAAGGATACATATCATCAAGATGATTGATCATTGTTAAATTTAACTTTCATGATTGGATCTTGGTGGCTTTATAAAAAGAGATTACACACACATAGACACACAGACACACACACACACCCCTTCTGCTATGATGCGAGGAAGGGGAGGACTCTCATCACAGACTATGTCATGCTGTTTGGACCTTACATCTCCAGAACCATAAGCCAAAATAAATTTCTCTTCGATATAAAGTTAGCATAACTCAGATATTTTGTTACAGTAATGAATAACTGACTAAAACACTTTCCTAACTAAAAAGAATGTCATCTCACTTTCCAGGTATTAGCAGCAATACTAAGGGAAAGAAATGAATATTCTAAGTGATATTCTAAATTTATGACAGGCCAGAAGCTTAATGAAGGATGGTATAAAACAATATATGCCATTTCCACAATGCCCACTTTATCCCAAATAATAACATTCCAGTAGGGTCACATAGATAAATCAAGTACCTTAACACATTTCAATCTAACCATTTTCCTAGACCTTTCATAAGATTCCAAATAAGAAATGCAACATCTCAGAAATATATTTCGTTGAAATAGCTTAAAGGGGATATCTTTTCATTATTCTATAGAAGGAAGAAGGTGTTTGGATATCAGTGTACAATATAAATTATTAAACAATAAATTGATTATATATTATCTCTACTATAGAAGTCTGTATCAAAGTTAAAGGCTTATAAGCAAAAAGATCTGATGTAATTGCCAGATTAAATCCAAAGAAGCCAAAAACATAATGTATTAAGAGTAACAAAAACTAGGCTGGCGCCGCGGCTCACTAGGCTAATCCTCCGCCTAGCGGCGCCGGCACACCGGGTTCTAGTCCCGGTTGGGGCGCTGGATTCTGTCCTGGTTGCCCCTCTTCCAGGCCAGCTCTCTGCTGCGGCCAGGGAGTGCAGTGGAGGATGGCCCAGGTGCTTGGGCCCTGCACCCCATGGGAGACCAGGAAAAGCACCTGGCTCCTGCCATCGGATCAGCGCGGTGCGCCGGCCGCAGCGCGCCGGCCGCGGCGGCCATTGGAGGGTGAACCAACGGCAAAAGGAAGACCTTTCTCTCTGTCTCTCTCTCACTGTCCACTCTGCCTGTCGAAATAAAAACACAAAATATAGAGTAACAAAAACTGCCATATTCTCATAGACTAGGCATCAGTTGATATAGACAACTAATGTTGAGTTCAGCTTGTTACAGTCAAGTACATGAATTATACATCAAGCTAAAAATAAAATATTCTAAGGCCACAGTTTTAATGGAAGGCAATTTGTTAATACCTATCAAAATGCATATACCAGCTGACCCAGAAATTTAAATTCTTAGACAAATGTACAAAAATGTCAACAGCAGTGTAACAGTATTCCTCAACAGATGTACACTGATAATGTCTAGCAATAGAGCTTCAGAATACCTTTCTCTGAGCTCTCTGGTAGCCAGGGCAGAGACACATGACCAAGGCTGAACCAAGCAGACATTCCTCTCAAGAATTTGGAATCTTGAGAGACCATCAAAAGGTAATCCATTGTGGCTACAAAGGAGATGGAAGTTCAGCAGAATCCAGTGGTATATTCCCAGCATTTTCTTAATCAGGGTGTAATAGACATCAGGAATTTGGCTTGGCCTTGCCTACTTTCAAACCTGATTCTACTGCCTTCCTATCAGCTCTGTGAACCAGCCAATCTTTGCAATAAAATCTTCTGCTCAGCATAAATGTTTCTGTTTTTTGCTACCACAGACCCAGACTAACAGAATCAGGAACTGATTAAATTAATTATGTTCATCTATGGGGGGGGGGGTTAAAAATTAGATTTATATGCAGTAAAATAGAAAAGACATCAAAGATTTACCCATAAGTGAAAAATATGAAGGTGTAGCACAGCACTAGATATATAATACTAACAGGATTGGGACACACACACACACAAATGCACACATTTACAGATACACAGAAAATTTGTAGCAGGATACATAAATCATCCTTTACCAAACTTACATAGGTAAAACTTAAAGAACATAAAAATATGTAAGTTTTAAAAAGAATCTACTTTAATATCAATAATATATAGGCAATACTTACTAACCTTGTCCAACTACCTCCATAGGGAAGTAGCATTTAAAAAACCAGCAATACTTCCAATGTTTTAAAAAACAGCTACATTAAATTTTCATCTGCTAAGCAATTACAAGGAGGTCTGCAAATAAAACAATACATTGTGAAACAGAAGATTTTGACTTCCTTCTCTCTCCCCCCACCAAACCTCTCTGAGTAATACTACTAAGTAGTTACTTTTTAGTAAGACCTAATCATGGGTAAGGCTGCAAATGCACACATTCACATTTACTCATCCTTGAATCCAACATGATTTTCGGCTGCCTAAATTCTCTAAGAAATCTTTACAAGAATGAGAAAAAGAGACAAAAAAGGCGGAAAGAGCTCATTTAATTACTATTAAAAATCTAAGTTAAGGGTAGAAAATTTATCCCATTTAGAAAGTGGGAATGTGGCTCCCACCCTGAAGCTCACCAGAGGATAAAAAACCAATCTCTTAAACTATGTCACAAAATACTCTTCGCAGTATGGTCCCAATATTTCTTCAGTCTTTTTTTTTTTTTTTTTAAGGATTTACTTGAAAGGCGGAGTCAGAGAGAGGGAGAGACACAGACACACACACACACACACAGAGAGAGGGAGAGAGAGAAAGAGAGAGAGAGAGAACTTTCCATCCACTGGTTCACTCCCCAAAGGGCCAGAATGGCCAAGTGAGCCAGGCTGAAGCTAGGAGCCTGGAACACCTTCTAGGTCTCCCATGTGGGTGACAAAGGCCCAAGCACTGAAGCCATCATCTGCTGCTTTCCCAGATGCATTAGCAGGGAGCTGAATCAGAAGTAGAGCAGCCAGGACTTGAACTGGCACTTGTACATAATGCCAGAGTCACAGGAAGCTTAACCTGCTATGCCACAATGCAGGCCCCTATTCCTTTAGTCTTTACCCCCACTCACCACAAATCCTGTCAAAAACTGTTTACTGCCACACTTTGTATAACATTCCTAGTATGAAAGTCATTAAAACTTCTTTGCAAAAAAAAGTGTGAACTCAGCTCTGTTGCCTCCTCACATAACTAATATAAGTCAGAGAAATATATATATTATATATATAAAATATATACCCAAAGAGATATATTATCCAAATATAAAAATATATTATATTGTATATTAATATATAATGCATACTTATATATAATTACATAATATATGATAAATATGTATTTATATAATATATAAAATATATTATCCAAAGAGATAAAATATATATAATATTAAGAGAAGAGCATAAATTCCATAGGATTGTTAGGTGGGGGATCATTCAGACAAATTAGACCATGCCCAAACATTTCATTTCCAAAATGGGGTTAATAGTAACCTAAGATTACTTCAAGAATATGTATGAATGCTACTCCGTGCTATTCAGCATCCAGAAGGTGCTTAACACACGTGTACTGAAAATCTAAATCTGTTGAGTCATTCAGTACAGTCAAAATCTTCTTCTTGCCCTTCATGTACTTTGTACACATCTATTATATTTTCTTGTTAATTATTGTGGCAAACTGTCCTTCCCTTTAGGGGACAACAGTTCTGTTCGCTTTTCTAACTCCAGCACATAGACTGCTCACAACAGTATTTTACATTTCTTTAAAAATGAAAAAAAAAATCACTCCAGTCGTCTACCCTTTGCATAAATTTCATCTCCTAACTCCTAATCCGTGTCCATCAAACCCATGCTTGAATGCCTCCAGTACAAACCAACTCCTCACTTAACAAGTTCTTTCCATTTCCAAGGGAGTCCAAACCTATCTCTTCTATTCATGGTCTTTGTTCTGCCCACAAAAAAGCCATGAAGAGTAAGTCTAAGACAGCTTTTACATGACAGTCATTTAATTATCTGAAAGTAGTTTCTATATTATCCATTCCAATGTTTCAGTTATTCAACCATTCCCAAAATGTCCACTGACATGTCCTTTGTAATGATCCATATTGATATACTGACTCCAGTTTGTACTCATATATGTCCTTCTGAAATGAAGGTTTCTGCCACCAAATTGTAATGAGGCCCAACAGGGTAGAACTATTCCTTACCTTTTCTGTACATTATACTTTTACTGACCCAGGATCATGTTACTCTTTTGCTGGCTTTAGTACTTAATCTGACTCATATGAATCAAGTTATGTAAAACTTTGAAACATTTTGAAACATGTGCTGCTATTTAACCAGTCAGCCTCTACCTTGCATTTCTATAGCAGTTATTTTTAAAGTAAACATCAGGCTTTAACTTCATTTTTATTTAATTCCATTTCCTAAATTTAGGCTATAATTTTGCCTATCAAGTTCATTTTGAATTGTTATTATCCACATTATATATTAGTTCTTCCATCCAAATTGGACTTTACCCAAGATTACTCATATGAAATGCAAAAAATCCAGAACTGCATGTAGCAGCCTATACCCTACAGCTTGCTTATAGTCTTTATGGACACAGTTGTTCAACTTGTTGAAAATCCATTTAGCTGTGAAAACTGGTAGAATTTCTTCACCTTGTACCCAAGATTTTCCTGAAAAAGTGTAACAAATATCATTAGAGGACTGGCAAAAATCAATATACTAGGCACACAATTATTATTGGTTTAATTTATAACTGATAGCTCTTTTATTCTTTTTGCCATAATTTTGTATCAAGTTGAGTAAAAGTTTGAACATTAGTGATTTTGGACATATGTACTCTCATGGTACTGTTTGAAATGGTTAAAATTGAACTACTAATACTTTATCCAAAGAGATAAGATAAACATTTATCAACAGATTCATTTATACGGAGGTCTTTCTGTATATCTACAAAACTATCTCTTTTCAAAAGGGTTCAGATTGAGATAAATTATTCAACTGGTATTACATGATACCAATAGTGGGTGTAGATGGAATCAAGGCAGAAGATGACTACTGACCTTAGCACTTTTTTCCTGAAAATTAGTGAAAAGCAGTACCCCCATTCTTAAAATTCTCAATCTCAAGTGGTTCACGAGGACAACTGGGACAGAAAAGGACCTTTTCTTATACTGAATCTAGGATTAAAAAGTTTGCCAGTTTTTGGTTAATATATGATCTTGTTTCCTTCAACTCAAGCAATTAGTTTGAAGTTAGCATAGTGAATAGCTTTTTGTATTGGCAAGACCTATCCCATTACCTAAATTTTAGATTGCTTAAAAGATTAGAAAAAATTTCTAAGATATTACTATTAATAAAGCCTTTGGCAGTTTACAAAGCAACTGCATATATTGTTTACTTCAAGCTCACAAAGATCCTAGTAGATAAACCAAGCACTATTACGGATTTCTTCTAGATGAGAAAATGAAGATGTCTGAACTTCACAAAGGTCACAGGAAGCAGTGGAGCCATCACACTACTCAGGATATTCTAATTACAAATACAAGACTTGTAGGGGCCGGTGCCATGGCTCACTTGGTTAATTCTCCACCTGCGGCGCCAGCATCTCATATGGGCACTGGGTTATAGTCCCAGTTGCTCCTCTTCCAGTCCAGCTCTCTGCTGTGGCCCAGGAGTGCAGTGGAGGATGGCCCAAGTGCTTGGGCCTCTGCACCGGCATGGGAGACCAGGAGGAGGCACCTGGCTCCTGGCTTCAGATCGGCGCAGTGCCGGCCATAGCAGCCAACAGAAGGAAGACCTTTCTCTCTGTCTCTCTCTCTATCTATAACTTTACCTGTCAATTAAAAAAAAAAAAATACAAGACTTGTGGAAAATTTTCAAGAATGCTCTCTAAGCTAAAATAATCAGAGAGCACTTAGAATAATATATTATTTACCTCCTAGATACATAGCAATTATTGCTAAGAATGGACAAACACAAAAGGGAGAGTTATCCATCAATTTTAATAAAGCTGGGGTCAGCAGGGTAAGCACGAATATACCACTTACAGTAGCATATCAGCTGTATAGAAGGGAAACAAAAGACTGACATTTGAATTCCAAAAATAGCTGTAAAGTTAAGGGGAAAAACAACCACCCCAAACACCCTTGGGCTTTGGGGAACAACCCTATGGGTTGTCATAGGCAGATATCACACATGTTTCTCATATATCAGGGATCTGAATTGTTAATGTGCACAATTAAGTTGGTGGAGATATTCTCTTTACACTCAATGTCCTCCAAGGGAAAAGCACCTCTTCAAATGCTTAGGGAACCCAACTACCACATTACTTCCTGTTTGGGACATATCTCTGTCTCCACCCAAGAGTCTATGGTGAGTGGGCATGCCTGTGACACATGTCTTGATCCCTGTCCATGTGACTGTTCTAGGATAGTACCTGATAACAGAAATAAATCCAAATTCATCAGTGATTACAATACATACAAAACCATTACAGTTTCTTAAAATACACACTTTCAGGGAAGATATTTAGTCTGGGAGTTAAAATACTGATTAAGACATTTGTACCCTACAATGGAGCATCTGGATTTGAGTCCCCATTTGGACTCTTGATTCCGGATTCCTGCTAATGCAGACCCTCAGAGGCAGCAGGGTTGACTTAAGTAGTTAGGTTCCTGGCACTGAATTGAGAGATCTCAATTATGTTCTTGGTTAGGTGTTGTGGTTATTTGGGGAATCAATCAAAGCAAATAAGCAAAAAGTTGAAAGAAATACTGACTGAATTTTTACAAAAATATAGCGTTGGGATATATAAAAAAATATACAGGCCCTTAAAAAAAAAGTGACACTGGGGTAGGTGCTGTGGCCTATGGCCTATATGGCCTAGTGGGTAAAGCCGCCACCTGTAGGACTGGCATCCCATATGGGCACTGGTTCGAGTCCCAGCTGTTCCACTTCTGATCCAGCTCTCGGCTATGGCTTGGGAAAGCTGTGGAAGATGATCCAAGTGCTTGGGCCCCTGCACCCACGTGGGAGACCTGGAAGAAGCTCCTGGTTCTTGGCTTTGGAACAGCCCAGCTCCGGCTGTTGCGGCCGTTTGGGGAGTGGGCCAGCTGATGGAAGACCTACCTCTTTCTCTCTCTCTCTCTCTCTCTCTCTCTCTCTCTCTCTCTCTCTTGGCTGTTGCGGCCATTTGGGGAGTGGGCCAGCTGATGGAAGACCTCTCTCTCTCTCTCTCTGCTTCTGCCTCTGCAACTCTGCCTTTCAAATAGATAAATATTTTTTCAAAAAAAAGTATCAGAGCTAGAATTAGTAACTACTTTGGACAAGTGATTTAGATTAGCTGGAAATCTCTTACACAGACACACACCCTCAGTCCATAATTCCACTATGGAGTATACTTCCAGAGCTGTAACAACAGTTCAGGGAGGGAAGCACAAGAACAACCCATGTGGTATTGTCTTTTGTTAACAAAACAACAAATAACACTAAAATTTCTATCAGTGAAAGAATGGGAAAAATTGTGGCATATAAAACATCAGAACAATTAAAATTAAACCAATCAAATGGGATGGGCATGTGGTCTGGCAGTTAAGACTGCTAGTTAGCACCTGTGCCCTGTACTGCTTGTCTGGATTCAATACTGGCTCTGGCTCTTGACATCAGCTTTCTGCTAATGTGGATCCTGGGAGGCAGTACTGATGGCTCAAGTAACTGGGTCACTGCCACCCAGACGGGAGACCCTGACTGAGTACCCAGCTCCCAGCTTTGTCCCCAGCCTGGCCCAGAGCCATTGAGGGCATCTGGGGAGCGAACATATGAGGAATTTGTTCATGTGCTTTATCACTAATCCCCACACTATATCCTTGTCTTGCAAATAAATAAAAAAACCAAGCAATTAATATAAATGAAATAGAACAAAATGTATTAGTAGCAATAAATCTATCAAAATAAGTTTCAGAGAAAGTACAGTAACAATCTACTAAGAGAAGTTTGAAAAAAATATACTGTGTACTCTTACACAGACATACATACTTATGTATAATTATATGGAAACTTTCACAGGAATAATAATCACTCAATTCACATAAGTGATTCCCTCTAAGGAAGAAGGGAGATGAAGGGTATATATACAAGGAGCTTCAATGTAGCTGTAACATTTATATCCTACAAAGCACAATGAATTCACAGAAAAAAAAAGAAAAAGTACATACTAGGCAAATAGAAAAACCTAAGATTTAAAATTAGCGTCAAAATCTTGAATACCAAAAACTATACTAAGTAACATGTGGAGGAAAACTTAATGAAAGAAGTAACTTCCCAGCCAGATGTAGGGCTTGAGTCCACATGCATCTTACAAATTAGCCTCCAAATTTATAGGTAACAAAATCTAAGCTATAAGAAAAATTGTCGTAAGATTTTAACATCTCTGCCCTAAACTCAAAAAACGAAGTAGACAAATGCTTTACAGAAGTTATGATCTAAACAAATCATGTCTAATCTAATAGACATGTGTGGAAATTTGTCTCTAGGACATACACTATACTTTTCAAGCACACATGGGACTTGTACAACAGTTGATCAAGTATTAGCTACAAAATTAGTCTCAAAAACTGAACAAACAACACATATGGCCTACATTCTCTCAGTAAAGTCAGAAATCACTAATGAAAAGATTGTTGGGGAAAGAAAAAGGAAACATGCTTAAAAATCCAAACTCCTTTCTAAATACTTGAAGGATCAAATGAGAAGCCATAAGAGGAGAACAAAGACTTTGGGAGTAACCAGTTGATCACGATTTGCTTACACAGTTTTTCTTGGATTCCTATGGGCCTCCTTAAAACTCTTATCATTAATTTCTTTTCTTGATCTAGTTGGAGTGTGCTGGATCTTTCCTAGAACAAAACCTTAAGTGTCTTAAAATAATTCGTGGACTTGGATAATCAAATATACTAAATTAAGCAAAGCTTAATACAGATACCTGGAATAAAATGAATAATCTTTATAATGTTAAGGAACTTTCCATAAAGCATTGGGGAAGTACAAGAAAACACCAACAAGCTAGGAAAGAAACAGGATTCAAGATGGCCTTAAGGTATCAGCTGGTTACAAACAAACAAGCTAAGGAGGGATGTGAAAAAAAATACTGGGACACACAGAGGGCCAAATAAATTATTTCCATGATGGTCAGCATTATTCAGATACTATAATGCACTTATCAAATTTGGGTCCGTTTTTCAACTACGTATGGAGAAATTGCACACAACAGTCAAGAAAGTGTGATTAAAAGGAAGAAATATTAATCATTTTTTATTCAAGTCATTGTTACATATATGATCTCATTTTTTCATTCCACTTTATAGATGAACACACTAATATTCAGGAAGGTTGCCCACAGGCATATAACTAGATAAGAAGAAGAAAAAAAAGGACTTTTCCCTAGTTTTCTGTAGAACAATCATGCTTTGTTTTGCTCAAGTAGAGGTCCTACCTGTTCAGGTAAAGGAAACTGAAAGCTCAGGTACTCCCACATATCAGCTCATGGGATCAAGCAGTTAGTAAGCCAATAGAAGAGATGTAATTCAGAATTTATAGGAATCAAGACACAGAGGAGAGAGCATGGAGTCTGGAGTCAAGAAGACCTGGCTTCAAAATTTAGTGTGGTCAGTTTCTAGCTGTGTGGTGTGACAATCAGCTTCTCTTTGCTTACCTATAAAATGGAGTCTTCCTCACAGAAACTACTGATCAGCGAAAATACCTTATAAAATCAGTTGCATACTTATATTCTTTCCCTACCTTATTCTATATTTGCTTTTAGAAGGAAATAAGAAAAATTTTTTTCATGACTCAGTGTCAGAAGTTGTTAAGTATATACATATGCATATTTTTAAAAAACAAATTCTATAATTAGGGCAAAAGAGCAGGGCTGTTTGCACTGCTTAATGCTAAATACAGTGCCCATTTTGAAGGCTTGAAGGGTTATATACAACTTCATAACATACACTTTTTGATTATTAACGTCCCTTCTGATTTCATTTTATTGACCCTACTATTTGTTCCTGAGCCCTTTATGGCAGGCAAAATAATGTGCTCCAAAAGATGGCCATACCCTAACACCTAAAACCTGTGAATATGCTACTCTATATGGCACAGTAGGTTAAGCTACTGCCTGTGATGCTGACATCCCATATGGGTACTGGTTCCAGTCCCAGCTGCTCCATTTCTGATCCAGCTCCCGGCTAATGTGCCTGGGAAAGCAGCAGAAGGTGGCCCAAGTGTTTGGGCCTCTGTCACCCACATGGGAGATCCAGATGAAGTTCCTGGCTCCTGGCTTCAGCCTGGCCCAGCCTCAGCTGTTGTAGCCATGTGGGGAGTAAACCAGCAAATGGATGATCTTTCTCTTTCTTGGTATCTCCCTCACTCTGTAACTCTGCCTTTCAAACAAATAAATAAATCTTAAAAAAGAAAAAAAGAGTAGACCTGTAGATGGGGACATTATCCATATAAACCTAATCACATCACATAAATTATCTCTAAATTGTTATTTATTTATTTTAGAGACAGATGGAAAGAAGAGCTTCCACCTACTGGTTTACTTCTCAAACGACCTGCAATGGCTGAGGCTGTGCCAGGCTGAAGCTGAAAGCCAGGAAATCAACTTGAGCCATCACCTGCTGCCCTACAGGATGCTCACTGGCAGGAAGCTGGAATAGGGAATAGAGCCAGGACTTGAATCCAGGCATTCTGATACGGGGAGCAGGCATCCCAACTGTCAGTTTAACTATTATGTCAATAGCTGCCCTAATCACAGAAATTCTTAAAAGTAAAGAAACTTTCCTAGATTAGAGTGAGAGACAGAATGACCCAAGAAGAATCAGAAAGATAGGGCAAGAGAAGGATTTAACCTATGTTGCTGGCTTTGAAGATGGATAAAGGAGACTGTAAGCCAGGGAGTATTGGTATCTGGGTAAAGTCCTAAAGCTTCCAAGAACCCTCAAACGACAACCAGCAAGGAAATGGAGATCTCAGCCTACAGCTGCAAGGAACTACATTCTTGAATAAGCAAGAATGCTCCAGAAGGGAATGCAGCCCTATTGAAATGTTGATTTTAGCCTCATTTTTCACATTAGACTTCTGAACTATAGAACATTAAGATACATTTCTGTTGTTTGAGCTACTAAGTTTTGGGTAGTTTGTCATGTTAGAAAGAGAAAACTAATATACTCTCATTTACATTAAAAAACCTGTGACAATGTTTATAAAACTACGCTTAAATCCTTTCCTAAACAAGGAAGAATGAAATGGTCAATGCATGCAGCCTATGCAGCAGAACATTCACTCACTCGTCATTTTCTGAAGCATTAACTATGCCAGGCATCATTTTGCCTTCAAGGAGTTGGCTGCAGTATGTGGTCATCAATATTTTTTTTCCCTTCTCCCTCAGATTTGACCAAAATTGAGTAAATGTCAGCTATACCAGAACAATGGGAGTATTCTTGCCGAGAGAACTGGGAGAAATCTAAAGTTATGTGATGGCCATGAAAAGTAAAAACTAGAAGATAGGAGAAAGCAGGCAAAAGGAGAATGAAGTCAGATCACCCTATGATCAAGGGCATGGACCTTGGGAATCAGCAAGCCTTAGGTCTTCGCTCTACCACTTAATAAAACAATTTGCTCCAAATGACATTGTTTCTTCATCTGTAAAATGGTAACCTAACATATGCATTGAAGGGTTAAAAGATAACAAGTCTTTGATATTTTGTAGAAGTACAAAAACATGTGGAGGACTCCTCCTGGGAACCTACCACCTACACATAGAGTCAAAAGCTAATGTGATGAAGAAGCCCATATAAAGTCAGTCTGGATCTACCTTTAGAGGTCATTTAAATAAAATTCCCAAAAGCACAAAATATGACAGCAGAAAAAGAAGAATCAATTTAGAAAAACAGGCAAAAATGGTCCACAACTGAGCAGTGGAGGAATAAACAATACTACCACTACAAACAATACTTAAAAAAACAAAGCAAAACAGATGTCCAGGGCTTACTGGTACAGCTTCAGAAATAGCATCTCTAAGGATCAGACCCAAGAGGTTTGAATTGAGATGCACTGCAGGAATTAACAGGCAGTGACCACCCGAGTATGTCAGCAGAGTGAATCTAGTATCCTTTTGCTAAGCATCCTTTATTTACAAGTGAAATATAATATAGCTAAAATGAAGAATATTTTATAACTTACAAATAAGCAAAGTTGAGCAATCAAATAGGAAAATGAAAATTTAGGAAGGAGACAAGGGAGGATTGCACGTGACTACATCTTTTTGTAGTAAAGGACACAGTCTCACAGCCTCACAGACTGACAATGAACAGAGAATAACAAAATGCAGTAAGCACAGCTGGACCAGAAGGAGAGGGGAAACCAGCTGAGCTGGCAATATTAGGGTCTGCAAACAGCAAAATCATTGGCTACTGCAGGAGGAGGAGAACTGGAGAGAGAAAATGGAGAAGAATTGTCAGGAGATAAAAGAGAAGGTAATTTCATGCTGGAGTGGGACAAAAAGAACAAGAGCACCGAGAAGAAAAAGGGACGGAGGGGCCAGCACCATGGCACAGTAGGTTAATCTTCCACCTGCGGTGCCAGCATCCCATCTGGGTGCCAGTTCTAGTCCGGGCTGCTCCTCTTCCAATCCAGCTCTCTGCTATGACCTGGGAAAGCAGTGGAAGATGGCCCAAATCCTTGGGCCCCTGAACACGTGTGGGAGACCTGGAAGAAGCACCTGGCTCCTGGCTTCAGATGGGTGCAGCTCCGGCCATTGCGGCCATTTGGGGAGTGAACCAATGGAAGGAAGATCTTTCTCTCTGTCTCTTTCTCTGTCTGTAACTCTACCTCTCAAATAAAATTAACAAAAAAAAAAGAAAGAAAAAGGGACATTATCTGAGATGGTGAGGTTTAACCATGGAAGGTTACAAAGGGAAAAACAAAATAGACCAGGACAAACAGTCTCAATGGTTCAAAATAAAGTCTCAGATGCAATATAAATATTAGATGGAGAAAGTAGCAAATAAACTGGGTTAGGAAGGGCTGAAAAGGAAAGAGCTAGCCAAAAACCTTGAAAGACCAACTAAAAATAACATGAAAAAAAACAGAAATTTAGGTACAAAAGAAGCAGAACATGTATTCTAGATGATACTAAAAGATATGTTTCTGATATATTTCAGCTCTCATTTGATGAATGAAGCAGCTAATAACATCTAAGAACAGGCAAGACTAAACAAGGTGGGTTAGGGATGAATAAGTGAAGAAAAGCAATGAAAGGATTAATATAAAATTCAGGCTGATGGTTGAAGACTGGTTGAAAGGGAGAGGTATGTAATGAGGATGCGTATTTCTTTGGCATGGTGTTTATTTTTATTCTTTAAAACTATTAAATTATATATATTATATATACTCTTTCATATGCATGATTATAAATAAAAACTTGAATGAACTAACTCTAAACTTGTTTTTCCACTGTTTCCTAAATATACTCTAACAAACCTATTCCTATAATAAAATAAAATGAATAGTGTTTTTGGCTCTATCTCAAGTTTAGTGAATCAAAATCTCTGGTAGGAGTTAGACAACTGAATCTTTTAAAAAACAAATACTTCAGATGATTCACAAGAATGTAAAGAAACTCAAAGTTGAGTGTCCCCCAGGGAGGAGTCTTTTTTTTTTTTTTTTTTTTTGGTTCCTGTTAAAATTCGAAAGCTCTAGAGAATCTAATCTGATTACTTCTCCAGGTCCTCTGGGATTTTGCTCCTTTTTCTCTTTCTTAGCTTTCAACAGCAGGTCTCTCCTAACTTAAAATATATTCATGTGTGGATACACACCAGCCAACCTGTTTTTGCAACAAAGTCTAAAGTTCTTACTCCTTCCCTCTCATACTCAGTTTTTAACAGAATAGCCCACTCATTGGCTCTATTTTAAACTTTCCAAGATCTTTACTAAAGAAAAAAAAAAAAAGCACCAATACGACATGTGATTTTTCTTTAAATTAAAAAAAAGTGAGATGGGGACCAGCATTATGGCACAGCTTAACCTGACTGCAATGTCAGTATCCCATATGGACACTGAGTCCTGGCTGCTCCACTTCCATCCAATCCAACTCCCTGCTAATGGCCTAGGTAAAACAGCAGAAGATGGCCTAAGTGCTTAGGCCCCTGAAACCCACGTGCGAGACCCGGATGAAGTTTCTGGCTCCCAGATGGGCCAGGCCAATCCAGCCATCTGGGGAGCGAACTGGTGGACGGAAAACCTCCCTCTCTATCTCTTCCTCTCTCGCTAATTCTAAAAAGTATGATGAACCATTTGTTTTAAACTTTCTAATATCCCTCTTTTTAAAAGTACCAACACTTTTTGTATTATTCCTTAAAATTAAAACCAAAAAAATAGTAGGATGTGTCGCTCCCCCTCTTCATGGAGGAATGACACAGGACCCTGCGTTGTTCTTTTGTCTGCTCGGCCCTTCCCGGGTTTGCTGCTGGTCCTTCCCGGGTTGGCTACCGTCCCTTCCACCTCCGTGGAAGGGTGGTTCCCCCTGCCACTTTCCCCACTTCCGCGGGGGAGCGGCACACTGCCGGCCGGCTCTCTGGGGGGCTGCACAGGTGTTCCTTCAGACAGGTGTTCCTGGTGCATGTTGTCTCTCTCCTCCTTTATAGTCCTCTTCCACCAATCCCAACTCTGCTACCCACACGCCGAGTATGCTGCTCTCCTCCAATCAGGAGCAGGTCCTACAGTTTATTGGTTGAACTGGAGGCAGCTGTGTAGAAGCTGTTTCCTCCTCTCCCAGCGCCATATTGTGGGAGAGCAGATGCATAGAATAAGTCTTAATTCCAGTAACAGTCTAGTCTGAGTTGCTCCCCACAGGATGAACCATAAAATACAGAAAGTCCCATTTCACAAATACCAGTACAAACAGAATTTTACTTTTCCTCTCCAGAAGTAACTGCTAAGTGTGTAGTCTTTGAGACTTTTCCCATATTTTCACATGCTACATCTAAAAATCCAGTTGCTTTAAAACATACATACACACACACCCCACTTTTGTTAACTGTTTTTTCTCCCTCACTCAATACTCAATCCAACACTGTGGCAAAGCACTAACACCTTCCCATCATTTTAACCAGCAGTCCCTGACTTCTGCTGCATCTGACACTGATGACCACTTTCTCTCTGGGAACTACAGGCAGATGACTGTTGATGTATACTGCCCAAGTCTCTATTTTTGAGTCTTCTTTGTCTCTTATGCTGGTAATCTTCTCCACCATCACATCCAAACTTTCTCTATTAGTGAATGATGACCACCCACTTCATTCTGGGAGGGCAACTCTGCTGCACTGCCATTTGTCAATGACATTGCATGTGAATTAATGCTACAAGATAATTTTCATCAAATAAGTAAGACCTTGCATTTTAATGTGAGATTGCATTTTTTGAGCATCTATTTCACTTTGCAACTAATTTGAACTATATTTTGATAGTCCCGAAGCAGAAGGACGGGAATAAATGGCGAAGACAGCTTGGGAAAGTATTAAGTAGTAACTTATATAGTTTAATGTTATGAAAATTTTTGCTTTACTAAAAGACTCCTAATGTCAAAATAATGAAACTGTAAGATAATGAAGATTTCATTACATATAATTAGCTCTCAAATCTCTAACCCAGGACACTCAACCCTGAGCTGCAGACATTCCTCTTTGCACATATAGCAAATCTGTTCTTATCACTTTAATTTCTGTTCAAACATCACCTCCTAAGATTTACAGCACCTCCCCTAAGGGCGCATAACTTAACTATTAAAAATCTCTGACTGAATGGCCTACCTTTACATCTAAGACAGTATCACACACCTTTCTGACAAAAAAGATTATTCAAAATGCAACTGAGAGTGGGCACGAAGTGGCGGGGACCAGTATAAAACAATAGGGAATAGTAGGGTTTGTAACTATCTTAAAAGACTGGATGCATAGGAGTTGGTCAGGTGTTTTGATAGAACTTCTCTTTCTTTAGGTGGGGTTGCTTGGAGGAGATATGATAGAAGGATACAATCATGTCTATCCCTTTCAGTACCTGGCTGAACGCCAGGAAGGGTTAGTAATGAGGCAAAATGGCAGAGTTTTAGGAGCAACAATCATAGGTTTATCAGAATTTTTATTTCCCTCTATTCTTGATAATTATCTGCTTATGAGATCAGGCTTGTTAAAAATCATTTTCCAGGGACCAGCACTGCGGCATTGGTTACGACTCTACCTGCGGTGCCAGCATCCCTTACAGACATCGGTTCAAGCCCCAGCTGCTCCACTTCTGATCTAGCTGCTCCACTTCTGATCCAGCTCCCTGATGATGGTCTGGGAAAGCAATGGAAGATGGCCCAAGTGTTTTGGCCCCTGCATCTGCATGGGAGACCTGGAAGAAGCTCCTGGCTCCTGGCTTTGGATGGGTCCAGCTCTGACCGTTGCAGCCATTTGGGGAGTGAACCAGCAGATGGAAGACCCCTCTCTTTGTCTCTTCTGTCTGTAACTCTGTCTCTCTAAATAAATAAATAAATCTTTAAAAAGTAATTATCCATCTGGATTTAATTGACACATTATCCTACATAATTTTTCAGAAACAAGACAGTACTAATGAAAAGCTTAAAGCTACATTTCAACTGGATTTGGTCTCACAGCAGGAAAACAGATCAACAGTATTATCATGGTCATGCAAAAGTTTTTAAAACCTCTTCTATGAATGGGAAAAGAAAACAAAAAAATGTTCATGGTTCCTTTCTCTTGGGAAATCAAAGTATTTTCACTATTTTATTTTATATCACTATTGAAAGAAAAAAAAGGCTAAGAATGACTATTTTACAGGCTACAGAAAGAAACAGGAATGTAGATGAGTCCCTTCATTCTAACATGTATGTTTCTCACACTACTTTTTAAAAAACTCAAGGATCTCACAGAACAGATTCAATATATTTTTTTAGGTGGAGGGTCACATAGAGTGTATCTTACAACTATGGATATAGTCTGAATTGAAGAAATATGATAATGGATTTTGGCTATAGTCAATAAAAAGTGACAGAATTGGGCTAAAAAGTTTCTATCAAGTTACTAATATATAATAAGGAATATACTGGTTTGGGTCCTCATTCATTAATTTCATAGGGCCGCCTTCTCTTTAGTAGGCAATTCCTGAAACAGTCATACAAAGCATCTTTTCTCAAGCAGCACATAATCAAATTTAGATGCCCACATCAAGTACCTATAAAACAACTCATTCGGGGCAAAGTGAGAAGCACAAATTCAGAAAGGGAATAGTGCCTTCCAGTCAGGATGTACGGACAATCTTGGCACATAATAAAATCTTTATATATTTACTCTTCAGGCATTATGGAAGACCCCGTTAGCCTTCAAAAGACAGAAAGAATTCCCAGAGGGAGAGATTGTAGCAAAAGACACTCCACACAGAGAGAAGCAGGTGCCAGCTAAAGCCACAGAAATCAGCCACTGGATCTCACTGGCAGAAGCAACGTGGGGAAATAGCAAGAGAGATGCCAGGAAAAACAGATAAAAGCTAAAATGTGCAGTTCATTGAGGGTCAAACTAAAAAATGTGAGCGAGTAGCGGAATAGCCTCCGGACACCACATTTCAGGAAGATTAAGCTGACAGCAAACTATACTGGCTGAACTGGAGTGGGGAGAAAATGGTGCTTTATACAGTCTAATGTCAAGTATTCAGTGCTTGAACTAGATTGGAACAGTAATAATTGCCAGAAAAGAGTGTCTTCCCTTTCAACTGCCTAGGGACTGTTTTTGGATGAGAGCAAATTCTAAGAGCAGAGAGCACCCAACTTGTTAATATCTGTAACCCCACTCCTCCCTGCACAATACTTTATTTCCTCAATTAAAAAGCTAAAAAAAAAAAAAAAAGGTTTAAAAAGGCAACCTGCAAAGTCTAATTTTGAATCTTCACTACTGCTGAGATAGCCAATGGCCACAGTCATGCCTCTCTAATTCTCAAATCTGGTGTCTCTCTCTCTCTGACTCTGCCTCTCTCTGACTCTGCCTTTCAAATAATAAAATAAATAAATCTTTACAAAAAATAGTTAATGTGACATCTTTCTCAGCCTGAATCTTGTTTTGACAGCCTAAATCAAATTTTGCCAGAAGGCTTTAGACTTTCCCTTTCTCCTTAAAAATACATGACATTCATTAAAGGTTTATAAATGTACAATTAACTATTTGCAAAACATTGCTATACGTGGGATCTTTCTTACATAGAAAACCATTCAGTTTCCATAAATACACACACCAAAAATCCTTGCCAAAAATCCATATTTATAACACAAAGTTTTACTTCAAGGCAGCAATCAACGGGCTTCCCTGGTTACTTACAGAATATGCTACATCATTAGTGCAACCACAAGCTGCTGTTGCTCACATTTCCAAAATTGTGCAAAGGGTCCAAAGTTGTGCAAGAGTCCCCACTGAAATCAGACCCGCGTATATTAATAGTTGTAACACCTGAACAAGCTTTGGGTTTATTCTTAGGTTCCAAGTAACGCCAAAATCACAGGTATTAAACACTATGTTATGATGAGTTTGCTTAACTGTGAAACACGCCAGGATGTTATTTAGAGTAAGAATAATCGAATTTCCTTGCATTTCACATGGACATGAGGTCACCTGAAAACTAGCAGCTGGGACCCCCAGGCCCATCTAAAACCTCAGCGTCCCCCTCCCCCCGTAGACACACATTTGCACACACCCCAGCCCTGCAACACTGCAATCAAGCCGTTCACACGTGGTAGAAGTCGACAGAACTTTAATGACCCTGAAAGGGATTCCCTAGCTGTCAAATAACGAGATGGGATTTATGCTGACTCGGGACTTGAAAGTGTTAAGTAACAATTTTTTTTAAAGGCTTTCTTCTCTCCTTCTCAGTTGTCTGTCCCACATCAGGGAGCGCCTAGCACAGGCCTAGGCGTGCTGGCTGGAGGAGGTGGGGCTGGTAAGGAAAACCAAGACCCCGGTCCCTTCCCCTTCGGCTCTCCCCCCTCCCTTTTCCCGGGGAGACCACGAAGGGACGCAAGAACGAACGGGCCTGGGGCCGGGGCGCAATCGTCTGCGTCGGGCCCTGACGGCGCTGGGCTGGCTCGCCCCTGCTGTCACACACTTTTCCAGACTAGGCAGCAAACGGCTGCCGCGGCCCTCGGCTGCAGGGCTGGCCAGGGCGGGGGCCGCGGACCGGGCCGGGCCTGGCCAGGCCGCGGCCGCTCGCAGTGCCCACGTCACCAGCTCCAGCACTGCGGAAATGGAGCTGCGCGGCCGGGAGGGAGGCGCCGGGTGGAGTCGGCGCCCGCACCGCCGCCAGACGCCGTTTTTGCCCCCTCAGCCCGGGCACACAGGCTGCCGACACTGCCCGACCGCGCGCAGGGCCTCACCTGTGTCGCCGATGATGATGTACTTGAAGAGATAGGCGTACGCCATGGCCGCGGCCGCTCGGTGCCAGGGCACACGGCTCCTCCTCCTGCTACTGCTCCTCCTCCGCGCCCCTCACCCCGGCGCCGCTCAGCCCCGAAACGCCAGGCTCCGCCCGCTGCCGCCGTCAGCCGCCGGGAATGAAGGGCCGAGAGGAAGCCGGACAAACTGACACCACCGAGCCGAAGGAGACAGCGCCCGGCCGAGCCCAGCCGAACAATAACAGCCGCCGCGGCGCCTCCGCCCCGCCTCCGCGCCGACCCGGAAGTGCTGCGGCCGCCGGCGCCGCGGGAGGAAAGGGGAGGAGCCCCGCACCTCGGCCGCGCCCCGCCGGCCGGAGCCCCGCCCAGTCCCGCCAGAGCCCCGCCCCACGCCGAGCCGGCCGCGGCCTGGCTTCCCCCTCCGCCCCGCGCCTGCAAGGCCGGACGCCGATTGTTCCGGCTCGTTTGAGCTGGCGACCCCGGCGGCCTTGAGACGCGGGGGGAGGGGCGGGAGCGTTCGGTTCCGTCGCCGCCTCACGCGCCGCGTTCGTGGCGGGAAGGCGCAGGTGGCGTTCGGTGCAGGGAGCCCCTCTGGGTTTTGAGGGGGCGTTTGAAGATGTGGGAGCTGCTCGGGCCTGGGGTGGGGCGATGGCGTTTTTTGTTTGGGACGGGGTCTTAATGGAAGTGTCAGGGATTGGGAAGTAAATGATGGTGTTCTCTACGGTGGAATACTACACTACTCGTGATTGAAGAAAGAAGCCTGACTTGCGTTAGGGAGAAACAAAACAGCTTATGTGTCTAAAGAGATATTTAAGTTATATATTATATATGGTTATATGTCATATACTTGTATGTATATATGTTTATATAGTAATTATTTCATATTGTAAATGTTTGCTATGTGTAAAAAATCACAGAATATTCTTAAATATGCATGTGCATAATCAATCTGAGAGGAAACAATGGATATTGAAGGGATGGAATTGGGCAGGGATCTACTTTTCACTGAATTTTTTTGTGTGGTTCAAAAATGTTTGCAGTGTTTGTGAATTACCTATTAAAAAGACTGTTAAAGGGAAAAAAAAAGGTGGATTTTATATTCATTCAACAAATACTGAATACAACTACATGCTAATGTTTTCCACAACACTAGGCAAAGCAGCTGGAGTAGGCCATTTGAAAGGAGCACAGGTTTTGGAAGAGGAACAGCTAATTTAATTTTAGGAAAGATGTGGGGAAGACGATGCCTGAACCAGAAATCTGAGCATGCAAGGGGTTGTCAAAAGGACAAACATACAGGAGAAGGAGTCAAAGTTTATGCGCAAGGAACAGAATGTGCGAAGTTGATGGCTCTGTTTGGAGAATTTAAAGTTGCATAAGGAAGCTAATTGACTAACTGGTACCCTCTAATGTTGGCAGTGGAAGAATTATTGCTGGGAAGAAGTGACAGGGATTCAGTGGCCCTGGTTCTTGTTGCCTAATGTTCTCTCCCTTGTGGGATTCCTGATTGTGTAATTACTCTTGACACTAGCATGCCGGACTGGCTGGGGTTGGTTGCAACATGTTTTGGATGGCTTTGCCCAGTATGAACTCACGAGTTTTTCTGGAATACTTAAAGGAGATTTTACTCAAGCTTCAGGGAATAGCACGCAAAAATTTGACATGAAAATTCACTTGGAATTACATAATCTACTTCACTTATCTTTTGCTTGGAGAAGGGGAGGTCTTTGGCCAAGACCTCCGGATTCCAGTACCCATTTGTTCCTCTCATTGGAGTGCCTTCACGCAGTCTCTCCTGAGTGATAGGAGAGAAGCTCAAGTGTTCACCTTCAGGGATAAGACCTTTACTAACACAGCCTCAACAGGACAACTCTGTCAGGATGCTTGTTACGGAAACATCTAGACCCTTAGGAGTCAGGAGCATTCCCATACTGATTTTTGGTCTTGGCCCTACCACTAATGATTGACTAATTGTGACAAATCAGATGACTTCTTGGAGCTCCAGCATATGCATCTATAAAGTGAGGCAGTAAAATGTTACTTAAATAGGCTTGTCCAAGTCAGAAGTCTTTTATTTGTTTTTTTTAAATTAGGCAGAGAGACAGAAAAATTTAAATTAAAATTGCTGAACTACCTCAGCCTTTGCTTCCCCATGAGATAAGGTGTGAAAAGTGTCCAGCACAATGTCAAACACACAGGAGAGGTTAAATACACACTGAAGTTATTTCCCCTCTCCTTCATTCCCTCTCTGAATCTCCACCTCCAGCCTGTCAATTAGAGCTATGGAGTTCAATGAGTCCAATGAGGACCCTGCCTTGATGGAGGTTAGAGTCTCCGTGTGCTTTGACCTGATGAAGAATACAGGAGGACTGCCCTGGCATTCACATTACTTGAAGAGTCAAAAGTTAATGATAGCAAGTTCACATCCTCAGCCACTGTGCATTTTTTTTTGGGAGAAGAAACTTTAGCTTATGTATAGGCTATTCTTTCTACCAATGGATTGATTATTAGTAATAGAAAAGACTGAAATACTGGATATTGGAATGATGATAAATTCATTTCATAAAAGTATGTTAAAAATGAAGCTATATAAAATATTTTGAACTAATAATTAATTAAAAAGTGAATTAAATCAGCGAAATTTTCTTAAATTAAAATTTTTTTCTATGTCCTTCAGATTTTACCTAGTGCTTTCAGCAGATAAAGTGGTTTGGAGAAAGGCCTAATATGAGAATCCAGGAGGTCTGAATTATGGTCTCTTGTTGCTACTAAGTAGCTGACCTTGAGAAAATCCTCTCCAAACTTTTCATCATCTGTTCAATAGAGATAATAATTCTGGCTTGGCTGGTGCCGCGGCTCACTAGGCTAATCCTCTGCCTAGCGGCGCCGGCACACCAAGTTCTAGTCCCGGTCGGGGCGCCGGATTCTGTCCTGGTTGCCCCTCTTCCAGGCCAGCTCTCTGCTGTGGCCAGGGAGTGCAGTGGAGGATGGCCCAAGTACTTGGGCCCTGCACCCCATGGGAGACCAGGATAAGTACCTGGCTCCTGCCATTGGATCAGTGCGGTGTGCCGGCCGCAGCGCGCTGGCCGTGGCAGCCATTGGAGGGTGAACCAATGGCAAAGGAAGACCTTTCTCTCTGTCTCTCTCTCACTGTCCACTCTGTCAAAAAAAAAAAAAAAAAAAAAATCTGGCTGCTTACATAATTGCTGTAGCTAGATGTGAGGACTCTGAAAAGTCCAGTATGACTGAGAAAGAATTTATACACAAAATTGCAAGTGGATGATTTCTATTGTATCCAAGGATATTAAAAGACCAACTCCTCCAGCACCATATGACATCAGTAATATTTTATTATCTGATGGCCGGCGCTGCGGCTCACTAGGCTAATCCTCCACCTGCAGCAACGGCACCCCGGGTTCTAGTCTCGGTCCAGGCACCGGATTCTGTCCCAGTTGCTCCTCTTCCAGTCCAGCTCTCTGCTGTGGCCCGGGAGTGCAGTGGAGGATGGCCCAGGTCCTTGGGCCCTGCACCCACATGGGAGACCAGGAGGAAGCACCTGGCTTTTCTGGCTTCAGATCGGCGCAGCGCGCCAGCCGTAGTGGCCATTTGGGGGGTGAGCCAACAGAAGGAAGACCTTTCTCTCTATCTCTCTCTCTCACTGTCTAACTCTGTCTGTCAAAAAAAAATTTATTATCTGCATTGATTTTTTTTTTTTTTTTTTGGTCAGGCAGACTAGACCTTGCAGTTGGCTCAAACTCTATTGTCCATTTATGTTTAAGGTGTTTTGTCTTGTGTTTATTGATAGGTATTCCTGGCTTTGGAAATTTTGAGACTGGAATGAGAGTGGGTAAGCATGAGGAAGACATCTCCCATCGGGTTGAAGAATCAGTTACTACTCTCATAGGTGTACTCAACTGATGTTACTCTCTATCCCTAAAGGTGCTTGAATTTTGATAAAGTGATATCTGTTTTCATGTCATTTTCCAGGAAATGATAAGCTTATTGTTTCCCAGTGGGAGGCATAGACAGAGCAAACCTTCTGTCTTTTGTGTGAGATGAGATCTTTGGAAATAAGTGGTTCAGGGAATGGTGAGATCACATTTCAGCCCTTCTCTGTCTCCTCTCTTCTGTATGAATGGGGTCTTTATCTCTACTTCTAGCAATTTCATTATCAGAATGTTCAACATATGAAATGAGAGAGAGGATTAATTTCACTTCTAATCTAGAGGAGAAGATTCTCTCCCGAATTTCTTATTTCTAAAAATAAAAGTTATTAAAAGAATAAAACTTCTTTAAAAAGTGAAATTATACCTAATGACTCACATTACATTTTTTTTGAAAGACAGAGAAACAGATTTCCCAGTTACTAAGTCTCTCCAAAAATTCTCACAACATCCAGGGTCATGCTGAAGCTAGGATATGGGAATTCAGTTTGGGTCTCACATCTAGGTGACATGGATGCAAGTGCTTAAGCCATCTCCTCTGCCTTACAGGTGCACATTAGCAGGAAACTGGAATTGGAAATGGAGCTGGGACTTGAACTAATACGGGGTACAAGTGTCCCACGCAATGTCTTCACTGCTATGCCAAACACCTGCCCCAAGGCTCACCTTTAAAAATCTGCGGGTTAGGGGCCAGCGCTGTGGCGCAGCGGGTTAAAGTCCTGGCCTGAAGTGCTGGCATCCCATATGGGAGCCGGTTCTAGTTCCAGCTGTTCCTCTTCCAATCCAGCTCTCTGCTATGGCCTGAGAAAGCAGTATAAGATGGCCTAAGTCCTTGGGCCCCTGCACCCACGTGGGAGACCTGGAAGAGGCTCCTGGTTTTGGATCGATGCAGCTCTGGCCATTGCGGCCATCTGGGGAGTGAACCAGTGGATGGAAGACCTCTCTCTCTGTCTCTACCTCTATCTGTAACTCTGTCTTTCAAATAAATAAAATAAATCTTTAAAAAAAATCTGTGGGTTAGTTTGGGGTTGTGCCAAAAGTCATTGCTGCACTCCCACTCCTCTCTTAAGTTTCCTAATTTAAGGAATCTGGAGGTGAATTCTCAAAAACCTCCGCAAATGAATAGGTGTGAGAAAGTGCAGTACAACTTTCAAACAACAGTAAACATTTGTTCTTTCAAACAATTTTTGTGCATTGGAAACCTAGGAGCAGCTTAGCTGAGTGGTTCTGACTCAGTCTTTCATGAGGTTGCACTTAACTCAGCTTGGGCTACAGCTGTCTGAAGGCCTTACTGAGACTGGGGGATTTACTTCCAAAATGACACACTCCTGTGGCTGCTGGCAGGAAACCTCAGCCCTTTACCACACACATCTCTCCATAGGACTGCCTGAGTGTCTTCATGTCAAGTCAGAGTAAGTGATCTGAGAGAAAGCAAAGCTAAAACCTCAGTGTTTTTATGCCTTAGCTTCAGACAT